ATGTCACCTGGTGATGAAATGTCCTTCTGAGACTCCCTCAATCAGCAGAGCATTTGTCAAGGAATTGCCACAGAATACGATGCAACAGAAATACTTCTGGAGTCACTTATTCAACACTCGATGTCTCTTCTCTTTCAGACTCTACACATTCACTTTGTGAGACTCATCTCATACACTCAGAGTGAGCGACCTGAGCTTGATTCCAAGCCATTGCTGGCATCACTTGTGAGATATATTTCAACTGTTCTTTGCCTTACATCACCAAGTCGGACTGACTTGGTCGCACAGGCTCCCATGACCAACATGGCATAGGGAGTTCGTCATCCAGCAATGAATTAACAACTTGCTGAATTGATTCATTCATACACTTCGATGAGAGAATGTTGTAAGCTGAAATCTCACCCCCCCCCCCCCCAATCTCTGTGGGGTTGATAACATGTGGAATAATTTGTGGGCAGTCAGCAGTGATCATCTTGGGGAGAGAATGGCACTGGCCAAAGGAATGTGGAGTTTCCATCACCTGCTCAAGGTTGTCAACAAATCTCTGCTGCCCCACATTCCTTGTGTGAGCATATTAAAAAAAACTTTGCCTATTGACTTTTACATTTTATTTAACATTTAATGCACCCTATAATGAAAAATAGCTAATACGTGTTTAAGATTAAAATCTTGAGGCATTTTTTAAAATGCAATATACATTTCCACTGTCACGAAGATGAATGAAATTATTTGAAAATGTTTCATAAAAATTTCATTTTTTAATATTGCCCCGCGGCGTTATCATTCCAACCTCCCCATCATCACCCTGGAAACCTCCCAAAAAAACTCCCCATGAATCCCAAGCAACTAAGTAACAAAAAAATCAAGGAGTGAAATCGATCAAACCTATCTAGGAGCCGAGGTTTTTGTTGCCCTATCTGTTTCCATCAATATTAAAGTGTGTCAGCCACACATCCGCGGCCTCCTAACCCCGTGTTGCACGAAGCCACATTGCCACCCTCCTTCCGCGGCGGTTTGTTATTGACTCATTTGTCACTGACTGTGTGAGTTTCATTTTGCCCCGCTGGACATTTTCAAGATTCACTGGGTGACAGAGGCCTTGGCGAATAATGCTGATTTGAAGCCTTATTTTGTTGTTGTTGTTGGGGTGCACGTGGGGGGAGGGGAGGGGAAAAAATACGCCTTGAGATCTCAGAGTAATTGTATGGGTTTTTATGCTGTGACGAAAGCAACCGGCGTGGAAAGTGGCCATTTGTCACCGCGTTAGCGGCGCGAATGGAAACGGATTTCGGATGAAATGTGCGTCTGCTGTATCTGGGCGTTTAACAATTTAATAACGGTTCCTTAAATGTGTGCAGCCTTGGTAGGTAAAGAGAGAGTTACCATTCAATAGGGCGTGTTGCCAGCACACGAGAAATTAGCTCAACATGAAATAAACTAATCTCTGCTTCGTTTTTGGCTGCCTGTGACCAACTGCAATTTAGCATGCACTGAAATTACCAGAAAAGTTAGCTATATAACGTCAAGTATCGCAAGTTATATAGGTGAGCCAAATAGTGTAAATGTCTATGATTAACCATAGAGGTTTTTTGGGTTAGATCGCGTAAATATAAATGTGTCGTTAAACCCGACACCACACGACACAGCCAATGAGTAAGGTTTGGCATTGAAACAAACCATTCCATTTTGTTACTAGTTCAGCACACTAGTGTGTTGGAGAGTAAACTCACACCATTTACAATTTGATTACGTTTCGCCAGGTTATTACAATCAGCCTCATCAGGTGACGACACACTGGTGTGCGCACCAGTGTGCTGTACTAGTAACTAATTGGCGTGTTTTGTGTAAGTGATAAAAATCACTAATTGGTTGTGTCGAGTGGTGGCGGGTTTAATGACACATTTATACTTACGCGATCTAACCCAAAACACCTCTTTTATGGATATTGGTGGCAAACCCCTTTGTGTTAAACCGTCTCTGATTAAATTCTTAGGACACATTCTTATGACAGGGGCAAGTATATCCATAATACAACTATTGTTGACCCACAGAGTAGCAGAATTTAGCAGCATTGGTTTATTAAGCTGCTTGGGATGTAGCTGTAATTCCACTATGGTTAACGTAATGATCTTGGCATAGTGATGACATTTGTGTCTCGCACCAAGAAGGGCCTGGATTCGATGCCTGACTCGTACACCTTTCTGTATGAGTTTTCTCCAGATTCTCCGGTTTCCTCCCACATGTATAAATAATGATTACTGGATCATGGGACCTTTTTGCCAGTATCAAAGTATGAAAAATAAGATTAGATTTTACCCTTCCTGGCAATACAACAGGTTTTAAGATGTTCAAGCACCAATTTAGATACCTTTTGCATGAAATAAAGTCTGCATTAACCACACGTACTTGTGGTGAACATGTAGAGAAACATGCTCTGATAATAGATATAGATAGATAGATCGTTTATTGTCATTGTCACCAGTACAACGAAATTTAAAATGCTCACCAGTCAGGGCATCATTCATAAATTTAAATTAAATAAAACAAGTATATGGGCATTGTCTTTGAAACTGATTGGCCTACACCAGAGACAGCCTTCTCTATGGCCTAGTCTCACCAGTGCCAGGCCAGAGAACGCCAAAATGCAAACAATATAAAGACAATGCACGTATCAGAGCATTTATAGCTCGGGGTGAGCAGCTACATCATTGGATACCTTTTTGGCAGGATCAAAGTATGAAAAATAAGATTAGGTTATACCCTTTCTGTCAATACAACAGGTGTAAAGACCGAATATATTTCTATTAAAATATAATAATGAATGGAGTGTGTCAAACATCCCATTGTGTGAACACAGAGCTCGCACAATTGTTGGTGCCAATTTCTAGCTGCCTTCCTGCTTGTTTGTGGTTGTCCGTGCCCCTGAAGAAATCTCGCACTCTCTCTTTCTAAGAGTGAACAAAAAACAGTGTGCGTTACAAACTCTAAATAACACTGCTTTTGTTTTTTTTACGTGGCATAGAGCCTCGCTTGCTTTCTGCAGAAGATTCAGCCACTGATCCCATGTATAGTGTTTTCGTGGCGAGCGTGCTGAACACCAAGCTAACAGGCCTCAATGGCAGAACATGTAAAAATCCAAACCATTGGAACGCACGCCTTTACTTTCTTTAATTAAATGACACACATTCCTAGAACTTGTAAGTTGACATGCTTACCATGTTAGCTTTAAGCACACCTCATTTTACTGCTTTTCAACCGTTGTAATTTAATAAAGGGAGCGATTTTTATTATTTATTTCCATTAACTGAAATTTACACGGTCAAATACAAACGATATTTGACGTTAATCTGAAATGACGTTAAGTGAAAGTGTCACAAATTCACTGAACGTGTAATAGTTGTCAGCTAAATATTGTGCCTGCCACACAGTAGTTAATTGAAAATGCACAAATGCAATCTAAGTTTAACCCATTCAACTGTGTCCTGAATTCAATTAAGATATGGCGAATTTGCATTCATTTTCTGTGACACCGGTTATGAAAGCGCAAAAAGACAAATTGCCTCACATAGTGCAGTGTGCCTTCAGGAGAGTGAAAGAAAACACTGATTTCATGATGTTCACTTCTAAAAAGTTCTGAGGCAAAAATAATAAAATAACACCTTCAGTGGAAAAGTTAATTTCTAGCCATGGGCTTTCTTCACCCAGCTGATTTTTTCCTAAATATATTAATTCCCAGACACTACAAGTTTCGCTACCAGCCTGAAGGAATAAATGGATCAATTTTCCAATTCATCTAATTTATCTTCACCATTGCTTGAGCAAACAGCAGTGATGTTTAGATAAAAACATTTTTATTCATCATCATCAACCATGGTCAATCTACCAATTAAAGGGCTTCCAGGTAAAGGTTTAACATGGGAATGATGGCACAGGTAGTGGCAACCCACCACCAACGCCGGCCGTCGCCCATCATTAGCTGCCCCACCCATGCTGATATTTGGGCTACGCCCATTTTAATCATTTATAAACAGTTTGCCTTTAGAGGCTAACCCCCTTTTCCTGATGACGACCGCTTGTGTTGCGATTGAAACGTCGTAGTTTTTGTTATTTTCTTTGAACCTATCTACGTCACTTTACCAAAAGACCCAAATAATATGAATTCCTGCAGTCATGAAAGCTTTAAGTCAAGATTTGTACGGTTCGTGTTATTTATAAATATTTGTTTTTATTTAGGCCTTTGTGAGAGCTTGGATGACTGCACCAATTTCTACTGAGGCAAATGTTATCATCTGTACAGGCTTAGCAGGATGGTCTTTAAAATACATAAGCTCTTCCAGAATCTGAAGAAAAATTTGTGGTTGATGGTAGACAAATGTTTCCCTGCTTGCTCCCAAGGGGTGATTGGCCACTAAATTATAAGTAACAGTAATCTGGTTATAAGATGGAAAATTGGTAATACTATGGGACTGCTGGGCTTCTCTTTGTAATCTGATTGCATGAAGACATTACTTATCATGCTTTACTTCCCAGAATCATAGATGGACTGAAGTTGGACATTTCTGATTTAACTGAAATGATAATTGTTTCGAGGTGGTCACAATTTTAGCAAGACTGTCCGATGCTAATTCATATTCATTGGCAATCAGCTCACAGATTCTTGCCTTTAATGTCACTGCAAAGAAATGTTTCTCTGATTACTTAATTATTCCTACGATTAAATCACTTCATGGAAAAGCTCATTGAATTCCAACAGACCCATATGGTACTTTAAATGAAGTTATAATTCCCAGATATAATCCATTTGTGGGCACAGACAAGTTTCAAATGAACAGCTTTTAGATTTGTGCTCACGTGAAAATATAGTACGGTATGTGTTCTTGTCTTTTAAATTGTCTCCTTTGTATAAACATTTCAATATTTAATATGTTGCAAGTATTGATACAACAACAAACAAACAAATTCACATACATGTATGATTTTCTTGTTCCGCAAAACAAAAGCAAAACAAAATAGAACCCACCGCTGGAAGGGCTGATGGGCGACGGCCGAGACTGGCGATGCATTGGCAGAGAGCACGCTGGAGAGGATGACCAACAGAGAGGCGGAGCAATGAGGTGAGCTCGCGTGTAGGAGAGGGCTCCATTGTGGTATTGCAAGACCATCAGGGATGCTGACATCATGAGAAGGCCTTCATCCAACAGTGGATTGATCATGGCTGCTGATGATGTGGATTTAACCCAGTTCAACCTGTCCGCACATCTTGACTGTCGTATATTAAACACATTTACAGCATTTAGCCAACAGGTTATTATGTGGGTGCCATCGTTGCGAGATGTTAACTGCCTCACCTGATATACAGGAGGTCGTGGGTTTGACCCTGACGCCTGTATATTTGGAGTATGTATATTCTCCCCGTGGTCGTGTGGATTTTCCTTCGGGTCCTCCGGTTTTTCTCCACATTTAGAATCAACGTGCGTTTAGAATATTTGGCTGGTATAAATGTCCACGTGATAAGCCACGTCATTGAGCTATTATTTGTGGTCAGGCCGCTTCTGAAAAAGAGCTTTATAGCTCAGTGGGCCTTACCTGGTAAAATAAAAATAGTTTTGTTTATTATGCTTCTTCGAAATTAACGCCAACGCATCTCGCACCTCCGATTACATTGTCACGCTTGGCTACTTATGGTGCGAAAGACGTTCAACATACATTTGCACACACCTGCGATCCAGTGCTTCGGAGGTGTGGTTTGTGGACCACATAAAGACAGTCATGTATGCCATATCATCACCTGCATAATTAAAAGGCAGTGGGAGGCTGCAAGGCAAGCAAGCTATTGACCTATCTCCATGGATATTTGATTGCGAATTCTCAGTCATGTGTGGTTGTCATGGCACTTTTTCTTCCTTTACGACACTTATTAAATACCTATTAAAAGAGACTGGACACACATCTCAAACAGGACCCTCTTTAATAGCTCGTCACGAGACAGGGTCCCCCAATGTTTTAATATTCACACATTTTACACATAAGTCACTGCAAGGTCAAAAATATGCCGATATTTTACATTGAACCATTTTTGGACCATTATGGTCAAATCTGGAACTGTTCTGATAACGCCACGGGGTCATTAAGGTCCATCTCACTGCAGACTCGGAGCTTCGCGCCCTACGGAATCTAGCGGGCAGCTGTGGGGGTCGAGCCACTGACCCTTTGCAGCTGTCTCAGTGGTAAGTGCACTAACCACTGGGATATATGGCTGCCTATTGATTTATGTGCTTAAATCATGCTGTTTAGCTGCTGTTCGGGTGAAAGTACAATTTACATTTCGTGCATTATTCACAGACACTGAACAATACGACCCTTTTAAATAACACTGCTGGGTTGTGTGTAATTGAATTCTCTGTCTGAAAGTCACAGTCACAGTCAATGTGAATTCCTACTTAAATTATTGCAGTGCGATACTCAAAACTGCATGAAGATGGCAACGATCCGTGTCGGTTTTATTGGTGCCCAATGGCTATACCATAGGAATGTGGAATTTCTACCATTGACTCAGGGCTGCCAACAGATTAACATTGCCCAGTGCTCTCATGAGCATGAAGATTATGTCTATTTGACTCTGCTACCCTGGTGCTACTTTATGAAGTGTACTTGGCTAGCTGTGTATACCACCCTCTAGTATACAATGCCCAATATGTTACAAAAACACATTCTTACACACAACAAGGATGATTCGAGTTTCATCATGAAATATTTAATGCAATATTGCGTCTAAAAACAAATAAACATGTAATGAGAGTTTTCGTGAGTAGCCCTCTCAAAGCACCTGTGAATGAGTAAAACAACAGAATAAGGAACATATGGTCAGATGTACAGGATATAAATATAACGAGATAAATGAACAACTCTGTGAAGTGATGAAGTAGATAGGTGGAGCAGATGGACTGTTTGATTTCATAATTCAACAGACACCCAGGGTCATATAATGCCGAGGGAAACGGCGTAGGTTACATTTGAAGCCATTTAAGCACACGATGCAAATAAAATAACACGATAAACAGCATAAATTTAAGCACACACGCAAATATAAAGATGAACATAAAATAAAATGCGCCGAGTTGAGGCTGCATTAACACGGCATAAGAGTGCAGATGTCCCAGGTGTGGGCTCATGGGAACTGTTTTGCGAGTTCATGGCTGAATCTCCGGCATTATTATCCAGCCTTGCTGCAAGTTAACCCCTACTCGCTTGTCAAGCCCAAACATTATCTTTGTTTTTTTTTTGCTAAATACAATACACATACAAAAATAAATCACAGTCTAAACATTCCTCCAAGAGTGATCCGTGTCCATACAACGTTAACAAATAAGTTGATTTTAAATGACCACATAAGGCACCCTTAGGCACAGCTTAAAACTACACCTTGAGATATATGTGCTAGCTTATGTGGCCTTGTGTGGCTATTGTCTGTGATTAATGCTTCGCTTTTTGATACATATGCTTAAGACTAATTCCCTCGATGCTGGCCTATTCAAGTCGGGTGTTTTTTCAACTCCACTGGGTCTGAGTGTCATTGCAGGTGAGATGAATGAACATTAGCTTTCGTTTTGAGCACTTGGATGTGGATATCTCAACATCACATCCACACGGAGCAGGGTTAAAGCGGCCGCTGTGTCTCCGGGGTCCCTATTACTGGGTCTGAAAACTCCCCACTGCCATTCCGCACACAAAACTGACCACATGAAAGCAACTGGCTAAAGAAATAGCGTGAGAAAAGCTGACGGGGCTAAGGCATTGGATTGCTACTCTTCAAATTGCTCTGGGGAACCACAAAAGTACACAGCACTTTGCCGTGTGTATGGGTGGTGTGGGGGATTTTGGAAAGGGAACACTTTGGCATGCACAATTGGCACTCGTGAGAACACGCAAATCGTGTCTCAGTCACACCACTATATATTCTTTTAATGACAAAAAACTTGTGGTGGATTTATGTGTGTAACAAATGTGAATTCTAAGGTGGTCTAATAACAATGATGGTTTAAGAAATGTGGAAATGTATTATATATCGTTGGTTGCTAGGTGGCTCGTGGGGGTTGGCTAATGGCTGTTGGAGCATCAAGCCAGCATGGCTGACATGGGTTTAGTTCGTAGGTGGCCTCCCAAAACTAAAGAAGTTACTTTGTGTCGTGAATTGATTGTCTGTGTTCAGTTTATTATTTTATTTTTACACGCTTATGCAGATGCCGCAAAGCCTAACCCATTCCCATTTCAAGACGTTTGCAAGTTGCAGGGCGGGTCCTGTTCACCGCCGAATCTTGGAATGTGCAAGTGGTTAGCTTTAATTTTATTCACAGAGTCGTAGCGCCGTTGTTTTCAAGACATTGCCCTCACGGTAGAGAACTGTAGTGACACAGGCCGCACTCTATGATAGCTGGCGCCAATCTGTGCCACACGTCCTCCCGTGTGGCCTTGTGGGAGCCTCGGTACGTCTTCCAACCTGAATACGCACCGGTAAAGTTATTTCATTTCATTTTCTTCTGACGTACATGTACATATACGTCATCGGAATGGAAGAAGAAGGAGAAGGAGGAGAAGGAGAAGAAGAAGCTAATGATGAACATGTATGTCATCGGAATGGGAAAGGGTTAAGAAGCCAGCTCTCACCATAAGAATTATAATTTCCGCGACTGGTTCTGGTCTATCAACAGAGGGAGGCAATTTGAGTATTCAAACATGCGTAATGTATGGCTGCTATAATCGATTTTATTTCGGATTCACTGCCCCTTGTCATTCGACTTTGTATGAGAACCAACGCATGCCGTGCAGCATTGGGGCTTGTTTGGCCATAATTCACCATGCTGATCAGTGTGGGTTGGTGAAGATAGTTAACATTATTACACATTCAATTTACACGCAAAACGCACACCTACAAGAATATTCCACTGACGTTTTCCAAACGTGTAAAACTATATCTAAATGAATAAAATACGCTACGGTAGAGACTCCCCTTACCAGCAAATTGTTCATGGTCAAGTGGAGTTCATGGGAAAATATATTTCAATAATTAATTGTTTATCCACTCTTTTTTGCCGACAATGGAACAAATTCATGGATAGCCCCACATGATTATGATCTGTGATTTCCCACATCAGTGGAAATCGAGAAATGAGCACTGCTGTATATTTGTTTTTTGTTCTTTCATTTCAGGGGACCATATTAATGCTCATACTTGCTTAACGTTGCGGAAAGAAGACCAAAACGCGTTTGAAACTTGCTCGTGACAAAATAAATTTCATGACCAAAACGCGACCTGATTTGTGAGGCGTCAGCGCATTGCCACCCTTCCTTGAACCGTTCATTAAGCGTGAGCTGCGGCGCAAGTTTTAATTGTCAAAATGTGACTTCCCGCTATTCAACTTTTTTTATTCATATCTATGTGCATTTGAGCACGGATCATTGACGTATTCAAATAAGTAAAACATTAAATGGACTTAAAAAAAAGCCTAATAGAGTTATATGTGACACGTTTTGGTCATTATTTGAAAACGACAAACAAAAGTACATCACGATATCACAAGCAATCACACACCATCTCAATACCAAGCAACAAAAACAGTTAATTGTAATTGTAGGGAAAACAGCAGCAGGTTGTCATTAAATATAATTAAATATAAATGTACTATTCCCCCATACATTTTGAGCTGTAATACATTGAATTTTAAGTGGTGAGCAATTTTACATTCAATTAGCTTCAGGGGACTTTCACATGAATTCACGCGTGCACTCATCTGATCACTTACACCCAGATCTTCCTTTACAATTAATTTCAGAGATGCAGAAAATACTCAACGGGATCTTGCCAAGTTCAATAGGCAACTACTGTATGACTATTGCATCTGGCCAGATGGTGGTGTGAGTAGAGGCACTTTGATTTCAATTAGAAGATTGATAGTCTAAAATCCTGGTCAAGTATCTGCCTCAGCCCTTCATTTATCCATTCATGCGAATTAAGTGTATATCACAACATACAGCTTCAGATGTTTTATCACAGTTCCTGAGCACAGGCTCAAAGGCCCAAAATATCAAGTTGCCCGCAACAAACATCACTATTAAG